GTCGATTGATGACAAACTTCCTTCTGGATGTCTTTCAACTTCCCGAAAGTATGAAAATGTCGATATTCGTAGTGCATTTGAAGTTTGTTCCACCAGGTTTAACTGTTAATCAAGCTTTCAATTTAGAGGGTCTGAAAAGATTTCTTAACAGTGTGACAAAAGGCCTGATTTGTGGCAGATGAGGGACTGGCTTTGCCACCACGACAATGCATATTTGAACACAGCCATCTCAGTGCGACAGTTTCTGGCAAAAAAAAAAAAAAAAGCAGCATGCCTCACTTGCCCCAATGCACCTTACTCATCTGACCTCGCTCCATACGACATCTTTTTGCCTCCGTGAATGCAGATATGAAAGGATAGTGATTTGAGGATGCAGAAGAGGTGAAGACAAAAACGAGGGAGGTGCTGTCAGTCACCCAAACAGATGAGTTTGAAAAATGTTTCCAAGAATGAAATCAGATTTACAAACGTATTAAGTGTAATGGAGAGTACTTTGAAGGTGCTATGGTTGTGTTGTAAAAATTTTAAATACATAACTTTTTTTGGGAAAAAAATTTTTGTGTACCTTCCCCTCTTATACTAGTCTGAGAGGGAGGAGAGTCTAGCAAAGAGAAGGAAAACATAGGATACCACATGGGAGCCCTGGTGGGTAGTGGTAACATATGATCTTAAAGGTCTGTAGTTCAAAACCACTAGGTGCTCCACAGGAGAATGGGCTTTCAACTCCAATAAAGAGTTACAGTCCCAGAAACTCACAGAGGGCAGTTCTACCCTGACCTATGCAGTCGACTTGAGAGGAACTGAGTTTGGTTTATAGCCCCCCAGAGCAAACAGCTCTTCGGAAGGCGGGATTCTGTGTACTCTGCGCTGAAAAAGTCCAACCAAATGAAGGCTGAGAACTGGCCACTGGTCTGGGCCCTGTGGAAGTCCGAGGGTGCCAGACAAATAGCATCCTTGGTCGAAGGCATGGCTGACGTGGTTTCAGGAGGCGGCAGAAAACAGCGAGAAGGCACGAACTTCACATCTTTGGACGACGAGTCAGAAACGCATGGTGGGGGCAGGAGGGGCCAACGGGGACAAGGCCAGACTGGTCTGTGTTGAACTGGGAGACACTGCAGTGGGTACAGGAGCTAACACCAGGCAGAAGAAAGGCACAACCAGAGGAGCCACCTACGGGAGGTGGGGAGGGGGGCTGGAGGAGAGACCACCTGCAGATGCCCAGCGCTACAGGTAGGAGAGGGGACGACCAGGAGCGAACCCAAGGGGAACGGCGCTTCGGGTCGGTGCCGGGACACTGAGTTGGGGAGATGGTTCCCCCAGGACGAAAGAGGAGCTACGGGACCAGCCCTTCGCGCGACAAACGGGCTCAGCACAGGAGCGCCGCTCCTGCCCGCGACCCACTTACATCTTGTCCTTCTGATGCTGTCGCTTCCCCATGGCTGCGCCGCGGGTGGACGGGAGCGAGCACCGTCTGGCTACTGGCGACCACAG